TCACCCAACAGTTTAAGCTTTTGGGTTGAATTAGTTCTTTACATGGTATCAGAGCATTTCTGATCCAGGAACCTATTTTCATTAAACCTTCCACATCGTATTGTTCAATTTTCCTGACTCAAATTTTTTTTTTTCTGTTACCCAATTCGAATTTCAATTTTCCCATGAACAATCCCAAAACCTCCTCTGAATCTTCAACCCCGTATTCTTTCAATAAACGTTCTCGGAAGAAAATACCTGCCAAAGCCATGACCATTGTCTCCACTAGAGATGCTCATGTCCCTATTGTCAATTTTACTCAATCCGATATTTTGGGTAAGTCTCTTGCTTTCTATACATTGTCTAGGAATAATATTTGGATAATTGATACAGGTGCTTCTGATCATATGATTAAAGATGCTTCCCAGTTGTTCAATCTCTGTAATTCTTCATAATCCGTTATTTCCACTGCCAATGGGGGTACCTCAAAAATTACTGGTCAAGGATCCTTATAGGTCTTGAGTAGATTAGTGTTTACCTCAAGTATGGATTCAGGAACATCCAGGGACGATGCCTCAGTTATAGGTGTTATACGCGTAGCAAAATCATTCGTGGGAGGGGTAACATCCAGTCCAGGAGTGTGTTGAAGAGTTATAATTTCTTCTCCAGTAGTGGGTATATCTCCCCCCTGAGAAGAAGTAACAGAATCTTCCCCTGAATAATATGGTTCCCATTCTTGAAAAGACACGTCCATGATGACATACATTTTGGAGTTGGATCATAACACCTGTAACTTTTGTGTACATTATAGTAACTCACAAATACACATTTTTTAGCACAAGGATCCAATTTGTTTCGTAATACTTTGGAGATATGGACATACATCGTGCACTCAAAAACACGAGTCTCAAGGTTGGGAATGTGAGGAATGGAAAAATAAGATTCTAGAGTCTGTTGTGAATATACAAGTACACACCACTGCCTATCTCATTAATAGGGCTACCTCAAAAATTACCGGTCAAGGATCCACTGGAAAAGCTTTAACAACTTTTGTTTGATCTAAATTCTAAATATAGGTCTTGAGTTTAAATCTTTTTTGTTCCTGTCTATTTATTAACAATTATGAGTTGAAATACTTATTTTTCTTAACAGAGGTCTTGAGTTTAATTCTATAGAAAAAATAGAATTGGGAGAGCGAACGTCGTGTAAATCTAACATTATTCAAATTAGACTTGGTGAGTTTCCATGTAGCCGGTTGAAAAAAAAAATGGTGTACTTGTATCTAAAGCAGATGCGGAGTTGTTTTGGATGATACCTGCATTTTGAATGTTAGGTAGACATTTAACAGTTGCATAATGTAAGACTCGGTCTTTTAGCCTAGAAAAAAGTAGAGACGGGTGAAGCCAGCATAAAGAGCGAAAAATCAAATATACTGTCGGGAGCATTACACATAGGCTAACATATCTATTGGAAAGAGAAAAATTAATAATTTTAACATTATAATTATATATTGTCGGGAGTATATAGTTATAGAAATTTATTAATATCATGTTACATGAGATAATTATCTCATGCAACAAAGATAAAATTATGGAATCCACTATTTTTAAAATAAAAAATAAAAAATAATAAACTCCATTATTTTGTCTCTCTTGCGTGAGATAATTATCTCATGCAACATGAGATAATTATTTCCCGGTATAATATTACTTGTCCCATACGGTCTTATCGAAAATGATCTCCACAAAAGAGGGAATGACCACATCCATACATCACTCATGTAGAAGTAAAATTTGACTGGACTTGCTAGTTGGTGACCGAATATTCTTGATACTGATAGGGTATATATGTAATTGGAGTAGAAGTTTGAACTAGCCAATGAGGCCGGCTATCTCATGGTATCTTTGGAGGAGATGGACCCCCCCCCCCCCACTTACTCTCACTGGTAAACATAAGCACACGTCTATATTGACCAACCAGCCCGGGCATGATTCTCATTCATTCATGTATATATAATATCATAGAATATGCTAATACTTCCATATGTATAGAAAGGAATTGAAAGTGCCTCTAGCTATAATCAAAAACGCATTCAGAAAAGAACATATACTAGCTTTTACGTACGTACGTGAAAGCTGCCGATTCATGTATGTCAAAGAATGAATGGGGCTTTGATTTGAACTTTTTTGTGGTTAATGGTCCAGAAGGTCACTGATCAGCAGTGGTCACCTGCGCGCATTTGCATAAACAGGTTCAAATTTTCCATTTGTGCGGTATTGCCTCGCACACGCTTTTTACTTGGTCTAAGGCCACTCCTTGAGTGAGACCGGGGAAAAAAAAAAAACGGTGGCCCATAAAAGACAAAAAAGAAATATTGACTTGTTAATTAGTATATGGATATTCATTTAACTATTGTGAGGGACTAAAATAATGTTTTAAAGTAACAAAAAGATTTATACGACAAAAAGATTCTTTCCTGATGTTTCCAAACAAAAAAAAATAACAAAAAGATTAAAATCATTTTTTATAAAGTAAATAAAAAAGACCTTCAAGCAGTGGTGAGAATTTGGATTGATGAATTGTATTCGAGTTGATAATATGAATAGTTATTAATTTGTGTCAAAAATATTCACACAAATATGACCTGTTTATTATATAAGTTGACATGATGCAATCAATATGAATAACCTGTTCATTCTATGTAGAATGAAAATTACATAAATTAAGTAACTTCAAATAAATAAATAAAAATGAAGTAGGTGAAAGTAAATATTTAATTTAAACCGGTTGATACAATATGAATATGAATAATCCTAATACAAAAAACTAACGTTTTTTGAGTTCTATGCCACATGCTTTTTGAGTTATAATATTTAAATAATTTCATTTAATCTTGAGCGGGAATTTGATTAGAAAATAGAAACCCACATATGCTTTTTGAGTTCTATGCCAAAAACTAAAACTTAAGCAGTATACATATGTAAGGTAACATGATTTTTCTTTTGATAATGAGTTTTGTCATGCAAAAATAAGACCCTTTCTTATGTGAGATAATCGGAAATGCTCAAAATAGCCATTTTGTGGTTCGAAATCCGTGTTCTCCGCCGGTGGTAATATTTTTACTCAAAATATGTGTTTGAATTGAGCTCAATTCGATGTGTTCAAAGCTTGAAATGTTTTGAAAAATAATTGTGGTGGGTCAAAGGAACCATATATCTTAAACGGCCGGGAAACTTTTTTCTAATGGGAAAAAAAATAAAGAAACTCCAATAGTCTTGATAGTTGATATTACACCTTAATCTAAATTAAACTTTAAGATTTGGTTTGCAGAAAACAAAAATTGTTTAAACTTTAAGATATATTATGCTAATGAATCTCTTTATTATATAATTATCATCTAGTTTTTTTTTTCTCATCACACTTTAATTCCTAACAAAATTGTAAAATTTTGAAGTGCATATGAACTTTGAATTCTTGAGGAGGTAACGCTGTATACATGTAGCCTTTTAGCTCGAAAACAATGAACCTTTGAATTTTGTTTTTAAAAATAATTTTTTAATTTTTTGAAGAAGAAAAAACCTATTTGATAAGCCTTATTTTATAAAAAAAAAATCTAAAATTTATAACTATTTTTAGTTTTTAAAATCAAATTTATAGTACATATCTTAGTTATTTTTGTTTTGTCTTTTAACTTTTAACTATAAAAAAAAATACATAAAACACTTATTTTATTAACTATTCCACAAAACAGTTTCAAGAGAGAAAAAATAACACACAGACCCAATATGGCAATATCTCTCTGCCCCCTCACGTGAAACGTCTCAATTATATATTAACACTTCCCATACTTTTGAATTGAAAATTTGCAATCTGCAATTCAGATTACATTGACAACACATGTATGTATATATATAGAAGCAATTGCCGCAGACCGATTGAAGTAGAATTATATGATAGCTGCTGTAAAAACATAACTTGCGTAATAGTTTGTGTGCAATCATATTTTATGTTTATTATGGCTCGACAAGTATATTAATCTTTGTAAACAAGTACCAAAAGTAATCATGTGGATACTAAATTCGTGTATCTTTTGTCAAACTAACTTAATAAAGACTTGTTCTTCAACAATAATTATAGTTATTATTTAACAAATAAATCTCTAGTATTAGTTTTAAAAAACAATTCGTGAAATATATACAAATTATCACCTAATCTTCTTTGAATAGAAGATATAGTTGATGAAAGGAAAAAAAAAAACAAGGAAGAAAGGAGAGAGAACTAATTAAATATTAATACACAATCAAATTTCCTAGTTCAAGTATGAAGAAGTCAATACTCGAGCTTTCACCGTATTAAATTATTAATTGAGATTCTTCTCTAAGACACGTGAAGCTCAAATGCTAGAAGGACGGTAATTATCAAATACTTCCTCTAGGCGTCTTAGTCGCGGCGCCAATAATGTGTCCTTCACTATATAATAATCCTCATTGAGGTTAGTAGCCTTCACTCCTTATAATTAAAGGGGCATGCTTTGCCTTATTCTAAATTTTTAATCTATGGAAAAAAAAAAATTCAAGGCAAAGAGGTAGCTACAACCTGCAACTGGCATCTTTGAATTGGGATTTCCGGTTCCATGGACCTCAGCACAAATCATGTACTTTCGGCGAGTTCTTGTGGTAAATAACTAAATATGTCTCCGTCTCCTTTATAATCATACGCCAGCCACTCGAAGCATGTGATACAATGATTTTATTTTTATTACTATAACATTGTATCACTATAATACATAAATATGCTTTTAAAATGTTTTTGTGTTTCTCGTCTCTTTGTTTTCTAAAAAGAAATATTTCTTGCACATAACTTATTCTTACACCGTTTACACTGCTTTGTTTGGGAAAAAAATAAATAGAGGGAATATGTTAGTTATCTTATTCTATTACCTCAAAAGAAAGTTGCGTACGTAAGAATAGTGTAAAGAAAGTGTTTAATGTTGTTCTTTTAAAAATTATCATATCCTTGTATTGTATGATTATAAATATATAGATTGTATATATCGGATAGCCACATGCTGCATCTATATGTCCATACTCTCATGTTGTATATAAAACTAACAACCAAGCAAAATAACAAAACCCATGTTCTATGCAATACAACTGTTAATAATTCACCGTTCTTCCGTAGAAGTGTGGTTTAGAAATGTTCCTGAAATGGCAGTAGCAAGTGCTGCTGTGAAATTAGGATCTCTTGTCAAAGAAGTAGCCATTTGTTGAACTAAAAACTGTTGGTGGATAGATGACTTTTGCGCATTATCAACCGATCTTGACTGGACCAAGTCAAGCGTTACCGTTGGACCAGCTGCACTACGATTCATGATGGGTGAAAGTGAGGGTGAGGAAGCAGGAACTGAACCTTCAATGGTTTCACTTTGGCTTGAACTCAATGATATTTCCGCTTGTTGATGTGCATGGTTGTGCTCTCCTTCGTAAGTTGCCACCAATACACTTTGGTCTTCTACACTTCTTTGCACCTAATATTTAACATATGGTCATTATAATTAAAAGACATCAAAATTTGATCTTATATATTTCTTGATGCCTAAATCTTAAACCAAGGTCAAAATATTAAATTACCTTCTTCTTCACTGGGCAGCTTGGGGCAAAGGAGCACTTAAAGTAAGCCCTAGGAGAGGGGTTATCTCTAGTGACTTTCTGACCATATTTTCTCCAATGATATCCATCGCTCACATACTTCAATATCCAAAAACATAATAAGGATCCTCGGTTAGTTCTCGGAACCTCCTAAATTTTATAGGGCAAAATTCGTGATGGCATATGCTCAACTCTTATAAATTTATAGCCAATGCTTGTGAACAGTTTCGGTGCAATCAATGATAGGAAATTTTATGAGAGGGGGCGAGGATTTCAAAATTCACACTAAATTAGACCAAATAACATAATAATGAGTCGCGATAAGTGTTAAAGAATAATATAAATCATTAAAAAAGCTTTCAATCAACCATTCAAATTTTTTGGTTAAATTAGTTCTTTACATAATATCAGAGCTATAAAAATTACGAAGTCCCAAGTTCGATACTCATTGTTTTCACTTTATAGTGAAATTAAATAAATCACAAGATAAATAAAAAATTAGGTATGTGCAATATTCACCCTCCAAACCCAAAAAAACTCATGTTTTAAGTTGAATTTGTTCTTTACTACAAGATTTGAAGAACTCTAATTATAACTCACACTTCCATGTCTATAACTTGAACAGCGGTCAAAATATCTTGAAACAACAAAATCAAATCAAATTGTAAGTAGGATATATTGAAGAACTTACTAAACTGGTATCAGATGCTTCTGTTCGAACAAGAACCTTGGAAACCTTTGGCGAGGTGTTATGTTTAGGCCTTTTGAATAATGTCTCCTCCTCGCACTCATTACCAAACAGATTGATACCATTCTCACTCTCGACCTTTCTCTTCCGCGATGGTGTCGCTTCTTCTTCAAAATTTGTGTTCCTCAGTTGGCTGAATTCACTCAAATGCTTTTGCAAAGCAAGATAGTTCTCCCACATGTGGTTCAGCGTCTCAGTTAACCTCTTGTTCTCACAACTTAGACGCTGCAACTCTTCAACTAAAATCTCAGCCTGATCACAAAATTTTCAATATTATCAGAGACATGAGAGAATGTCTAGGCAAAAACAAAGAAGAAAGATTGAGATTTGCTTAATATACTAACCGCGACATTCATGTGTTGAGAAGGAATAACGTTAAGGTTGAGAGAAGTATCGACGCACGTTGGTTCCATAGAAGAATCTAAGATTAATGACAGAAACTAAAATGGTTGAGTGGTGAAATAGTTTAATTTGGATTTAAGTGAATGAGATGAAACCTGCACATTATATAAAGAAAAATCAGAAAGAGGTTGGGACTTCATTATTATTATTTGTCTGCAAGGAAAGCAGCACGAAAATCAGGGCGAGAAAGCAGTCTCGAACCGTTTCGTCCTTTCTAGGTTGTCTATTGTTTATTTTCTGTAGACGCGCATTCAAGAGTCAAGAGAGAGAAAAATGAAATAATTTTTAATTAATGACAAGTTAAATTTTAATTAACGAAATTAATAACATTTAACAAAATTTATTCTATGATAAATGAAGGAATTCTGTTAAATATTAGTCTTAACATATCACAAATATTTCCTCAAGGGAGAAAAAATGAGAAAAAGAGAAGAAAAAAAATTGGTATAACCTAGAGGAATGTCCTCGAGTACAGCCCTCAAAAGCTATTTCTCATTGGAACAGATGATGCATTGAGTTTTGTCACCAAAAGAAGGATGAGACTAATCATTCATTCAAGGAAAGAGACATGTGCTCTAACCCCTAGGCAGAGTTTGGTAGAGGAGAAAAAAAAATTTACCAGAGAATCACAATTACTAGGAATATAGTGGAAAAATAAGTTTTCTGAGAAATTTAAAAAAAGATTGTTTGATAAGCCGAAATATTACCGGAAAAATTGATTTAAATTTTCTGCGTCTGTATTTGGTTGAAATGTAAAATATTGCTGAAAAAATGGGTTGAAATTACCAAAGTAACCCTTGCCTATCAAATTTTGGCACATTATTTTAAGGATATTTGTGTCCAAATTTTTGCTCCCCAATTTTTTGTTTCCTGGTTATTTCAACTAATAATCTGGATAAATTTTACACACAATGTCACATTCTCATGCAAATTAGAACCCTAGACAAATTTTTTGAAAACCCCTGCCAAATATGGGAACAGTGACCATTGTGCCACTGTTCACCAACTTTTTTACCTAAATGCCACGCGAACAGTGTTATTTTCCAATCTGCCACGGGGCAAGTTCACTTCTGACACAAGCGACCTCGGTTTGCTGATGTGTCAGCTTCCTGGTGGTGTCAGAGTTCGCTTCTGACACAGACGACCTCGGTTTTAACAATATTTTAACCAAGTTCGCCTACATGGTAGGTGAACTTCATTTTTTTTTAAATTTAATACTTGTTATCCACTAAAAATGTGACACGTCAGCAAACCGAGGTCGCTTGTGTCAGAAACGAACTTGCCCCCGTGGCAGATTGGGAAATAACATTGTTCGCGTGGCATTTAAGTAAAAAAGTTGGTGAACAGTGACATTTTGGTCAGTATCCCCCAAATATGATCTCCTTTAACTCTCATGTGAATTTTTCCAGGTGACAAAATAAAACTCTCCTATCAAATACATCCCTAAAAATTTTTCAAAAATTTACTTTTTGAAACAAAATTTAAACACTTAATTCAATCAAACCCTCATAAAGCTCAATTTACAACTGAGCTACCTTACAGGTTTGAGAGACTTTTTGGTACAGGAGAGAGAGAAACTTTACTTGAAGGGAACATGAACATGAATTTCACTCATTGGTCATTCTCATCTTTTGTAACAAAGAAAAAAGGCAACTTGATGTTAAGATTTGGATGTTCTCCCATTGACCGTAACATTATCTCATTGACTTCGATAGGTGCATTGATTGAGTGGTTGTGTTTCCGTGTCAGATTTCTCTATTTCAACGTGTATTTTAATGTGAAAGAAAACCCAAGTACATATCTTCCTTGGTCTTCTTCATTATTGACCGTCCCCTTAAACGCTTTCTTCCTTGTCAGCCCAAGTCTATGGCTTATCCTGGACTTTTTGTGATTCCCTTTTTTAGGCTCCTTTTGATTATAGGTCTATAATATTTTTATTTAATATAATAATTAGAAGTTATTAAAAAAATAAAATTTTCAATTTATAAAAATTTGAAAAGCCTTTTCTTCACAAGCCTCAAAGATGTCATTATATAAGGAAATATTTAGGCAAATAACCACAAGAGTTCAATTTGTTATATATTTCAGTGGCTTCTAAATTATATGGATTCCTTTTCCTTTGAGTGTGCACTGCATTTTCATTTGTGAGTCACGTATCATCACAAGAAATCTGAAAAGGGTGAAATTTACATTTCCGTCTTTTTTATAATTTTTTTAGCGAACTGTATTTTACTTAGAGCGTGTTTGGATCCTCTTATTTTTAAGCTAGAAGCTACTTATAAGCTAAAGCTAAAAAAAAGAGCTTAAAAAAATAAGCTAAAAGCTGTTTGGAAATTACATAAAAGTTTTAGCTTAAAAATTACTTAAAAGCACATATTTCAAGAAAATTGTCTCTTTCTATCTTTATCACTCTTTATTTTAAAAAAAAGCACACAATTCAAGAAAAACAGATAAGAGCTTAAAAAAAAGCTCCTCTTAGGAGCTTTTAATTTTCAGCTTTTTTCTTCATTATAAAAAAAAGAGTTTTTCGTTATAAGAGCTTTTCCCAAAACCTGTTTGGCCTAGCTTATGCTTATAAGTAGCTTGTAGCTTAAAAAAGAGAGGATCCAAACAGGCACTTAATGGATGTATTGGATAATTGACCATACTTTAATTTATGTATAAATAAGTAATTCCTCAAATTAATAACATTCTACAGTCCATTAAATGAGACAATGTTGATAGGTTAAGTTTGTGTAATAATTTTTTGTTTTGATAATACTCTCAAGTATGCAGAAGTTTTATTAATTATAAATACCATGGGATTTTTCATGAAATAAACTATCAAAACAAATGAGAGATGTATATATTAAGACTAAATTTTTGCATATAAAAGCGGTTGGTGTAATAACCTAACAGAGATTGTATTTTCAAAATATCACGAATGATGGTTTTTATAGCAGTTTGTTGTTAGCTTATGATTACTTAAAAGTCTTATTCTGGAGTCAAATGACCATTCCCCGTATATATATATATATATATATATATATATATATATATATATATATATATATATATATATATATATATATGAGAGTGACTATTAAGCATTGACACTTAAATATTTCTTAGTTGAAAATATAACCTCTCTTTTTTATACTTAATTTTTGAATATAAGATTAGTATTTGAGGTAGGATTAATTTATATTATTGTAAGAATAATAATTCTTACACTCAATTTGACTATTGATTTTTATGCATTAAACAATTGTAATTTTTTAGGTTATATCCATTAATTAATTTAAATTTTTAATAAATTCCAACTGTCAGATTTAGGAAAATTAACGATTAAAATTAAATATAAGACTTACTATTCTTTTTTCGGTGTAAGTTGATCTTATCCCTAAATCTCTGAATAATTAAACTCAAACTTACTTTATACTCAAAACACTTATTATGAGTGAATATAACCTTTTTCTAAATATTTTTTAAATTTAATTTGAACAACAACCCCTTAAAATACCATAAAAGTACACGTACTAATACTGCTTATTTGTATATATGTATTATTAGTGTCTCAATAACTATCAATAATTACATGGGTGTTTACAAATTACAACTATTATTATTATTATTCAAAAAAAGAGCTTATAATTATTTAGTTTATATAATTAATATAAACATTTTTTGTCACTAATTAAAACAAATGGCCAAATTGTGTCATCTCCAAATCAAACCACGCACATGCAACACGGAAAGCCCACTAAATTTCATGTGTAATTGCATTGCATGAGATGATACATCACCGAGTACGTACTCTCCTCTGGAAAGCTTGCATTTGAATAAACACGCAGAGAAGAATAATTGGAACGCAATGTGAAATGCCTAGCCCATCAAACGCAATGTGAAAATTCCATTTATTCCGATCTGAGTTGCACAAGTTAAAAACTGTGATAGCTACAACTCACACGCTAACGATAAAATATCCAATTGAAGTCGGCAAGATCAATTTCAATAAGACTTCCAGATTAATGAAGAAAAAGTAGGAATGCACGCGCAAATTGAAGGAAATTGGGTTTCGCATGCTGGTTTTCATTTTTAAAGCAAATTTGACTCAAAACGGACTTGACTTGAACTTTTCAGGAACTTGGATTGGAACTTGCTTCCAACAATTTGGCCAATTTGGATGCCCGAAACTCAAACATTGCGGCTCAATAATTAATTAAGACGTAAGTCTTAAGTTTGTGAACTATTCCATTTCTAAGTTTAAATACACATATAATATACGCTTGTTTTGCCTCTCTTTCGTGTTTTCTCTTTAATTAATCATATTATTGTATATTTAATTAAGCATTAACATCTCGTGCCAATATAGACCACATTATTACTAGGCTTGAATGTTTCTACAATGAATATAGATAAGTTATCTACATTCGCTCTCAAAACGATATCGTTTTGCATTAAAAAATTATAATGAAAAAGACTATTTATAACACTGAAATAAATTATAATTACAAAAATACCTTATTTTCGCTTCAAAACGATATCGTTTGGGTTCAATTTAGATAAATTATCTAAATTGACTGTAGAAAAAGCGAACACTTATTATTATTGTCTTTTTTCTTTCTTTCTTTCTCACTGTTTATGAATTTCTATCATATAGTTTAAATTTTTAGAATAATTAATTCTTGTTATGATATTAAAGCTACATAATTTGGTGTGCTAGATAAAACTATTCACAATCTTAAGCTTAAATTTTCATAATAATTAACTCTTGACGCATGAAATCGGTTCAATTTTTTTTTTTCAATGTCTAGTTGATAACAAAATATAATGTGATGATTTATTAAGTATTAACAGATATTGGTTGCTATTACAGTAACAATGTATTAAGACTTAAGAGGCGCATTAGAGTTAGATAACTTAGTCAGCAGGTTAGTTTCATTTCCTGTGATACGTACGTGAACATACAACACCTATACAAGTCAATGATTCAGACTATATAATTGATGGTTATTATAATTTCTTGTCAAAAATCTGTTTGTCGATGACTAATGTTAATTTTATTAAATTACTTTAATCAAATATTAGGTGCATGCATCTTAGGAGTGTAAATGTGTCAAATAGTTTATTTACGTTAGATCAGAT